ATCCACGCGGTAAGCAGTACGCAATTACTTATCTTTCGCCAGTGAGGGCTGCTTCTCACTGGTTCCGGGTGGCTGTGTAGATTCTCTGGCACTGGGTTTCTCCTGGTGCAGAAAACGCACCTCCAAAGCACCATCACTTGCCTGCCTCACCGGTCACCCACAAGCTGCTCAGGCCTGAAGGCCTCAGGCTCTCTCCGTGTCAGGTCTGGCAACTCCTCGCTGCTTCCGAACCGTCTCTCCCTCCCCCTGCCACTCAGTCTGGTTCCTCAACTCTGCCTTTGATGTTCAGGGCTCCCAGACTGCTATATATAATCGAATCACTTGTTTTTTCCGGTCTTTGTTATAAGAGGGTCCACCGGAAGCATCTGACTGCTCTGCCATCTTGGCCCCACCTTTAATTTGCATTTCCTACGTGAGGTGAGGTTAAAGATTTTCATATTTAAGAACAATTTGTATCTTTCCCAGTTTACACTCACATCCTTCATGCACTTTTATGAAAATATTTTTCTATCTTTAAATATTATCCTTTTGACTGATAAGCTGCAATCCCTTCTCACCCTCCCAGTTTGTCATTTTTCTTTTGACTTGGCTTATTAGTTTTTAGTCTGCTAATTTTTTTTTTTTTTTGGTAAATGTATCATTTCTTTTAGTTTGGGTTTGACATCATAAAGGCCTTACCCACTCAAATTACTTTCAAAAGTCTCCCACGGTTTCTAGTACTTAAGGTTTCATCTTTTCTTTTCCAGTTCAAATCTTTGATTCTATGGATAAAAGGCATAATTTTTTTTCCCTTTTGACTACCCATATCCCAGCACCACTTATGGAACAATCCACCTCTTTCTAGATTTTAAATAGCACTTTTATCTTACTATTAATTTTCGAAAGATATTAGGGTATTTTTCTGGGCATCCTGCTATATGCTACATCAATCTTTCTCACTGAACACTAGAATCATAGCTTCTTTACATTTCTATTTCTAGAAATTTTTGTAGTTGTTATTGTAAATGGGGTCTCCATTCTTCCAGAAGATTTTCTGGTTGTTGTTTGAATATATAATAATTACCGATTTCTGCATATTAATGTCACACCGAGTCACCTTGCCGAATTTGCTGGCTTATAAATTTCAGATAATTCTCGAGGTTTCGGTTTTATGTAAATGTTCCTATTTGTATATAGGAAACAAAATCTCTCAAATGTACCCAAGAAGGTACACTACAACATTATTAAAAATCATACAGAAAAAATAATTTTTTAAAAAAGGAAATAACTTAGAAGTTCATCAAAGAAGACTGGTTATTTTAAACATTTCTTCCCAATTTTTTTTTTTGTTCTTATACTGGACTGCTATTACATGGTAGTTAAAATGAACTACCTAAGGTGTCAATATAGATTACAACACAGAATGAAAAAAAGCAATTTAGAAAATTATATGTGATACCATTTACGAACAAGTTCCACAAACACTAAGTACATTTCACTAACGTCCTAATGAAGGGAACCAGTTCTGTAATTCCTAATGTTTTAAAGGTTCACGGATTGCTGATAGAAATGCCAAACTCGTTGCCGTTAAGTCGATTCCGACTCTAGCAACCACTATAGGACAGAGTAGAACTGTCCCATAGGGTTTCCAAGGTGTGGCTTGTGGATTCAAACTGTTAGACTTGTCGGTTAGTAGCCCTAGTTCTAAAATCACTGCACCATCAGGGCTCCAATAAATATATAGTAAAAAATAAAAACACGGATGAGTAAGATACATACAAATTTCAGAATACTGGTTCCTTTTGAAGAGTTGGAGGAGAATGAAATGGCAAAGTGCATAAGAGAGCATCTACAAATTCTTCATCACGTAAGTGCGAAGAAAAGAAAAAAAAAACCCTGAACTCGAAGCAAATATGGCAAATATTGAACATTTGTTAAATCTGGGAAGGTGCATGGGTGTTCATTACAAGTCTATGTGCTTTTGTGATTACCTGGAATATTTCATAAGAGCAAACAGTTGTAGAAAAAGGTTTTGGACTGATCTATTGCCATTCCATAATTTTCATTTCAAAAGAATCAATTTGAGTCTGGCAAAAATAAGATTTCCCTGATTTTGGCACATTTCTAAAATATTTATTTTCTCCTTCACACATCTTTGTGTTGTTGTTGTAAGATGCCATCTAGTCGGTTCTGACTGATAGCGACCCTATGTACAACAGAATGAAACACTGCTTGATCCTGCGTTCTCCTCACAATCTTTGTTATGCTTGAGCCCATTGTTGCAGCCACTGTGTCAATTCATCTCGTTGAGGGTCTTCCTCTTTTTCACTGACCTTCTACTTTACCAAGCATGATGTCCTTCTCCAGTGACTGGTCCCTCCTGATAACATGTCCGAAGTATGTGAGATCTCACCATCCTTGCTTCTAAGGAGCATTCCAGTTGTACTTCTTCCAAGACAGATTTGTTCTTTTCCATGGTATATTCAATATTCTTCACCAACATCACATTTCAAAGGCATTGATTCTTCTTTAGTCTTCCTTATTTGTCGTCAAGCTTTCACATGCCTATGAGGCAACTGAAAACTCCATGGCTTGAGTCAGGCGCAGCTTAGTCTTCAAGGAGACATCTTTGCTTCTCAACATTTTCACAGATTTGCCCAATGCAATGCGTTTGATTTCTTGACTGCTGCTTCCATGGGCATTGACTGTGGATCCAATAAAAACGAAATCCTTGACAACTTCAATCTTTTCTCTGTTTATCATGATGTTGCCTTTTGGTCCAGTTGTGGGGAATGTTTTATGTTGAGGTGTAACTCATACTGAAGGCTGTAGTCTTTGATCTTCATCAGTAAGTACTTTAAGTCCTCTTCACTTTAAGCAAACAAGGTTGTGTCACCTGCATAATGCAGGTTGATAAGGAGTCTTCCTCCAATCCTGATGCTGCGTTCTTCTTCACATAGTCCAGCTTCTCAGATTATTTGCTCAGCATACAGATTAAGCATGGTGAAAAGATACAACCCTGATGCACACCTTTCCTGCCTTTAAACCACGCAGTATCCCCTCATTCTGTTTGAACAACTACTTCTTGATTCACGTACAGGTTCCTCATGAGCGCAATCAAGTATTCTGGAATTCCCATTCTTTGTAACGTTATGCATAATTTGTTATGATCCACACAGTTGAATGCCTTCGCATAGTCAATAAAACATAGCTAAACATCTTTCTGGTATTCTCTGCTTTCAGCCAGGATCCATCTGACAATAATATCCCTGGTTCCACGTCCTTTTCAGAATCCAGCTTGAATTTCTGGCAGTTTCCTGTTGATGTACTGCTGCAGCTGCTTTTGAATGATATTCAATAAAATTTTACTTGCATGTGATCATTAATGATATTGTTCAATAATTTCCACATTCGGTTGGGTCACCTTTCTTGGGAATAGGCATAAATATGGATCTCTTCAAGTTGGATGACCAGGTAGCTGACTTTCAAATTTCTTGGCATAGACAAGACAGACAAGTGAGTACTTCCAGTGCTGCATCCATTTGTTGAAACATCTCAACTGGTATTCCGTCAATTCCTGGAGACTTGTTTTTTGCCAATGCCTTCAGTGCAGCTTGGACACATCTTCGTGGAAGTTACATGTCTGCTTCTCTGCTTCCTCCAACTAGAATGTAATCAGTGGGAGCAGGCATCTTTGTTCTGTCACAGTTGCATCCTCAAAAGTCTTAAAATGGACAGACAATAAATAGTTGTTGAATAAGAAACCACTTAAAGTGTTTATTTCCTTGGTTTGGAATCCTGGGTATAACAGGAGAATCCGAATGCCATGTTAAGTATTTAGGAGCTAGGTTTTGTGTAAGTAGTAGATTTCATTTTAGACTGACTTAATATAAATACAGGAAAAGTTCTGATTTTATGTAGTTACCAGGTCAAAAATAATCATACAGAGTTCCTTATGTGTTTGGTACACAGTGGAATTTGGCAAAAACAAAAACAAACCCATAAATAAGGAAGTTACAGGTTTTTTTTTTTCTGGTTATGGATTTCATTATTTTCATTTATTCCTGTTGCAATTAGAAATAAGAAGTACCGGAAATAATCTTTCCTCCTAGCTGGGCTCTGATTGGTATGTATTCACACAAGTAATCTGGGCTGAATTACACTTTAGCAACATCCTTGGGGTAAAATTAGAATCAAACGTGTAATGGTTAAATAGAGAATCTGGTTAATTTTAACAATTTATGAAGTCTAGGTATTTGACAACAGAAATATTAAGTGCAGGCAAAAAAAAATTTTTTTTTACATGCTACTTGCTCTATCTACATTTCACTCTATCCCTGGCACAAGTAAACTCAATTCCTTAATTCCCCATCTAAATGCCCTTTTCTCACCATTCACTGATAACCTTTATTCCAAACTTCAGTAAAAAGACTCTTAACCCAATATGTTTGTTTTATAGCTGTTCATAGAGCTAATAATCTATATATATTGAAAATAAAATTATATAAATTGACAGTGCATGAGACATAGAAGGTAGACTACTATATAAAACTGATTACACACAAAGGGATTAGTACTATATTCTGATAGTACCAGTATCTTATAAAAAGCTCATTACATTCCAAAACACTTAATAACACAGCTACAAATTAATTTTATGGTTACTTTTAAATCTGTAGGTATACTTTATATAATTCTGGGTGTGATGTGAACTGAAAAGAAATAGTAGTAAGTATCTTTCAAATTGTTATCAGTGTCCTTCACTCCTAATACTGCATTGCCATCGAGTTGATTCCGACTCACTGTAACCCAATAGGACAGAGTTGAATTGCCCCATAGGGTTTTCAAGGAGTGGCCGGTGGATTCGAACTGCCAACCTTTTGGTTAGCAACTGTTATCACTTAATCACTATGCCACCAGGGCTCCTTTCCAGCCCTGATGTGTTGTAATTCTATAGAAATGATCATCATGTCTCTAGTCTCAAACAGGATTTTATGCTATAATAACAGACAAAAGACAATCCAAGTACAATTTTTTAATAAAGATAATTACAAAAGATGGAAAAAATCAGCTCAGAAAGGCCAATTACTTCTTTAATAGATCAGTTTTTGACCTAATAACTCACATCAATTTTAAATACTATCACATAAAGCATGGTGGAGAAAAAAAAATTGCTTCATAATTAGAAAAACTCACAATAAAACTTACCAAGAAAAACAAAAATGAAAAAAGCCTTTTTGAAAATAAATACAGTCCATGCCAAAGTAGTATAAAATGAAGCCAGAAGTCTCCTTCAAAAAGAAAACATTTTTCTTCCCAATATTTTCTCATTTTTTTTATGGTTTCCTGAAATTTGTGAGACTCAAATTCAAGGGTTGCTGAGCTGTTCCGATTTGGCTCTGTTAAAAGAGGCAATGTGAAATATTAAAAATGGCACAATCTCAGTTTAAATGCACTGACCTATTGATCAAGTCCTGTAGGCTTATGCCAAGAAAAGCGTAAGCTGATAATGTCTTTAAGTGTTTTTGGAGCACTGAATGCCTTAAATCTTTTTCTAGTGGTTTCCCAATCTATTCCAAGATAACTTGCAAAGGCTAGCACAGAATTATGTGTGGCCAAGCATTTACATGCTTTCTGACAGTAAAAATCCATGTTTTTACTTAAAAATTGTGTTAACTTACTCCTGTGTTGTTTTTCTTTTAATAATTTTACTTTTGTTATTGCTGTTGAGAATATACACAGAACATACACAAATTCAACACTTTCTACAATTCAGTGACACTGATCACATTCTTTGAGTCGTGCAACCGTTCTCACCCTCATTTTCCGAGTTGTTCCTCCCCCATTAACATAAACTCACTGCCTCTAAGTTTACCTAATCTTTCGGGTTGCTGCTGTCAATTTAATCCCATATAGATAGATCTTAAAAGGGCACAATGCTCAAGGCAGACATTCTTTACTAAGCTAAACTGTGGTTTGGTTTTAAGAAGACATCAAGGGATATTTCTGGTTTAAGGTTTAAAGATTATCTCAGGGCAATAGTTTCAGGGGTTCATCCAGCCTCCACAGATCCAGAAAGTCTGGATTCCATGAGAATTTAAAATTCTGTTTCCTTTGATCAGGATTCTTCTATTAGCATCTTTGAGCAAAATATTCAGTAATGGTAGCCAAGCACCATCCAGTTCTTCTGGTCTCATGGCAACTGAGGCAGTTGTTCCTTGGAGAAAACTAGCTACACATTCGATTTCCTCCTCCTATTCCTGAGCCTCCTTCCTCTGTTGCTCCAGGTGAATAAAGACCAACTGTTGTGCCTTGGATGGCTGCCTGCAAGCTTTTAAGACCCCAGGAACTATGTAATGAACTAGGAGGTAGAACAGAAGCACTAAACTCAATATTAGGTCAATTATCTAGGATATCCCATGAAACCATGACCCTAAACATCCAAACTAAGGACCAAATCCCGCAAGGTGTCTGGTTATACATAAGTAGCTTCAGCACCAGATCATTTTTTTTTTCTATTGTTGTAAATACATCACACAACTTCTTCCAATTCAACTTTGTACAAATGTTCAACTTACTGACATCAATTACAATAATCAGCTGTGCAGCCCTACACTTAATGAGACTTTCCATTGCTGTAAAGAGAAACTCAGTACTCCATAAGCAATACCCTTCCCCCTTCCCTCCCACACCTAGTAACCACTATTAAACTTTGGTCTCCATACATTTGCCTATTGTTTCTTTTTATATAACTGAGGTCATACAATATTTGTTCTTTTGTGATCAACATATTTCACTCAATAGAACGTCTTCTAGCTCCATCCATATTGTAGCATGTATCAAGACTTCATTTTTCTTACTGGCTGAATAGTATTCCATTGTATATATGTACCACATTTTGTTTATCCTTCATCCACTGATAGGCATTTAGGTTGTTTCTATCTTTTGACTATTGTGAATAGTGCTGCAACGAACACTGGTGTACAAGTATCTGTTTCAGTCTCTGCTTTTAATTCTTTTGGGTATATACCTAGGAGTAGAAATGCTGAGTCATATGGTAGTCCTATTTTTAGTTTTCTGAGAAACCCCCACATTGTTTTCCACAATAGCTGTACCACTTTGCATTCCCACCAGCAATGGATAAGGGTTTCAATTTCTCCACATGCATTTATTATCTTTATAGTACACAAAAATTACTAGATAATATTATTTACCCTTTGGTATCTGTTTTTTCACCGCTACTGTCCTTGGATTTATCTTCTTCTTTAACATCTAAAAACAAAAATTGGAATAAAACCTTATTTTGAAATATAAAACACATAAAAAAACTTTACTTTTATAACATAAAAGTTGTCGCATACAATCTTACCAACTATGAATTCAATAATGAAACGTCTATGTTAGGTGCAATGCTATATGACAGAGGTTCAAGCTGTTATAGCAACATCGTCCCTGCTCTTTTGGAACTTCTGGTTCTTTGGGATTATAGCATCAGCTGGGACGTGCTATGAAGCTGAGTGCAGTCATGAACACAGTGCTGTGGGAGGTTGGGAAAGTACCATGGAAAAGTTAACATTTGAGAGGGGTCCTGAAGCATGAATACATTTTGAGTGGGGAAAAAAGGAGAAGTATCTCAAACAGAGGGAAAACTAAGAAGAAACTGACAGGTGAGAAGGAAGAAGGCCCATGTAGCTGGAGTATTATAAGAAAAGGGGAACGTTAAGATGAGACCAGAGACACAATAAGACAAATCCTATTGCTTGTATCTTTATTTAACTTTCAGTATATAACTAAACACTGAAACTTTACAATTTTAATAAAATAACAGTACTACCATAAACTTCAAGATCACTAAAAAAATTTATTCTAAATGTGCCAAATTTTCTTTAAATAAGCAAATGGACCAAAGTTAAGAGGCAATGACCTAATAATATAGAGTGCAACATCAACATGGTTAAGTATTCTACACAGACATTTCAGGGATTGGTCTGACCTATAATAAACGAACATGTTAACAGTCTGGATTATATGATATTATTTCAACTTTTTGCTTAATTTTGGCTGAGTACATTTAATAACCTAAGTACCAAAATGGGATGGGGGGGGTAAGAAGAATAAAGGCATGGCCCCAACTCTAGGTCTTGGCCTATAAATTTTTATAAAAAGGTTTCTATGGTAGTACTTCTTTTTATCTGTAGGCTAGGGGATTTTAACAATTACAAGGCCCTATGAGCTAACTAAAAGGTCAGCAGTCCGAATCCACCAGGCACTCCTTGGAAACCCTATGCGGCAGTTCTACTCTGTCCTATGAGGCTGCTATGAATTGTAATCGACTCAATGGCAATGGGTTTGGTTTTTTTAACGAGCTCCAGCACCAAACAAAGGAGTTAAATAAAAAAAAAAAAAAAAAAAAATAGACTCAGAATGCTTTTCCACAGTTTCAAGGCTATGCAGAAAGCTCTTTAAAAAAAAAAAAAAAAAAAAACCATCTATAAAAATCAGCCAACAAAAGCACTGAGAGCTAAATACTGGGAGATTGTTCCACCTCTGAGCCATTAACCTAGATTAAAGAGTACTCTCATTTTTTAGCTGAAATATCAATGAAAGACAAGCAACCCACCTGGAAGGAAAAGCACAGAAAAGAATTTTAAAAATTAGAAGAAATATCAAAAAAGGACAGACAAGAAGACATACTGAGAGTGAGAGAAAAGAAAAATACTATAAAAATCCTACACTAAAAAGCTAAGTCCTCCTTTACCTCAATCGTATCTGGGAGGTAGGGGGAATTTTTGGATGCCAATCAGTACATTAGAGCAAACTGTGAAGCCATGATTGTTAATAAAATGGGAATTTAAGTATAAAATGGTAGGGAACTGTAGCCAATAGAGGAGTGAATCTACGAGTAAAAGAACAGAACCAGATGCAACAGATATGCTATAAATTCCTCTCTAGTAAAACAGGAAAAAGAACAAGAGAGCCAGCTGACTCACACAACTTTAACATGATAGATAAAAAGGATGTTGGACCAGTTTTTCCACGTGCTATCGGTCAAACTCCACAGGTCAAATACAACTTGGACTCATCACCATTACTTGCATATAGGTATGAGGTATACATCAGGAAATGCACTAAGTGCTAAGAATAAAGACATTTCAGATACTGTGTTCCCTAACTGTGAGGAGCTAGCGTAGCAGGGAGATATAAAAAATCCTACAATGAAGTGCTGTAACAGGATATGTTAAAATGACAGAAGTATGTGTAATGTGCTCTGGGAACTCAGATAAGAGATAACAAACAGGTTCTTAGCCTGATATGTCTATTTTCTCATTAGACAAGATGACACAGCATTTTTAAGGTAAGGCATCAGAAAGTAGTATCTCTCCCCTAGCCCAGTTCCCAAATCCCTTTCTATCTTTCCCCAAGATTTTCCCCAGATTACTTTCTTCAAATAATTTCTGAACCAAGTCTATTATCTGACCTTTTTTAAAAAACGGTGAAACTGGTCTAAGGATAATGTAAGTCTTGTTTTTTGTTTTATTCCAATTAATAAAGTTTAAGGTGTTAAGAATTAACTTAGAATTTCAGATCTGCTCACAGACTACAAATGGATCTACAACCACTTTGACTTCTTTCTTATCCGATCTTATCACAGCACAATGCTATTTTATGCCTATGTCATCAAGAGAAAGGTTTCTTATATTATAAAGGCAAATGTAATAACACTTAAAAATCTCTAAATAAAAAATATTTAAGAGCTAAGCACCAATTAAAATAAAAAATAAGTCATCTACCGAGCACACCTACCCTTCTTGTACTTGTGTAACTGACTTCAGGATGTCATAAAAACTGCAATGTAGCTCATTAAAAAAAACTTACAATTAAAACACATTGACCAAAAAAGAAGTCTGACCTGCTTTTTTATCCTCTGTTTCCTTCTTGTCTTCTTCGATTCTAGCTTTCTTTGCTCCTTTCTTATGATCAGCCACATTTCTACGACCTCCTTCTCCTTCATCCTCAGAATCTGAGAATTCTTCATCACAGGCTATCCGCTTATCTGATGCTCGAACTGATAAATAAAGATTTTAATACATTTTGACAAGAACAGTCATAGCTTTTACAATTGTTACAGCACACTCATGTACAAATGTGCCAACCGGCCGACACATTTAAAAGTATAGGATAACAGATGCTTAATAATTTTAAGATCTGAACTGAATGTATAGTCTGTTCAGTACTAAAAACTTAGCTTTGATCTAGGAAGAAACAGTTCAAAGAAACATGAAACACATTTGGGGATCTCATTAAAAAAACAAAAACAAAACTCTGGAGAGAAAAATTTGTATTCTTCTAATAAGGGGTGGGAATAATGTCTTTACCTAAAAAGTAACCTTTCATTTCAGTGCTGAGAGAGGAAGAAGACCCCTCAAAAAAAAAAACCAAACAAACAAAAAAAGCTACTAATACCAAATTACGTTAGAAACATTCTATATCACTATAACACACCAATACGCTACAAACCTAGCAACTACATTAAGTGGAACACAAGGCTGTAGAATTAAACAGAAGGTGCTTAATGCTATTCAAGTCATCCTACTTTGGATAAATGGGATGTTTTCAATTTATTCCCAAATATATACAAGTGGTTCATTTGTGGAAACATACTTCCAAATATATATGTAGATTCATATAAACTGTAATTGTTGACACTCAAATCAGGCTTTGAGATAAAGAAGCTAATGTACATCTGATTAAAAGTGGGAAAAGTTACAATAACAGTGAGCTCATGAAATGTAACCTATAGTGAAGTTCTTAGGCTACTAAAACCTTCAACTTTTAGTGTTGCTTTAATAAAGCAGAAAAATGTAGCACAACACACATCAAGGCTTTATCTTACTAGAAATTCTCTTATCTGGATCTTCTCCATCTTCATCTCCACTATCTTCATGAACAGCATCTTCTGGAATAGCTTGCATTTGGACACCCGGTGCATGAGGTAACATGCGCAAATTTTCAAATAAACGCTGTCTAAATTACACGTGAAAAGTTATTAGACAAAATTTATTTTCTTTGACATTCCTCTTCTATGCAGGAGGAAACATCAAGCAAGAAATTCATCTTTTATCCAGCTAAAACTATGAATTAAAGTAACACTAACATTTACTGAGCACTGATACATTACACATATTAACTCATTTGATGCTCAAAACTTTCAAGTACTATTATTACCCCCCACTTCAATAATGAGGAAACTTAAGCACAAAGACAAATTAACTTGTCAAATGTCATACAGCTAGTCTGTAGTAGAGAGGACACAAACCCAAGTAACTAGGTGTGGGTACTATGTCTCTCCAAACACTGCTCATGGAGATAAGGCCTTATTTATCAAAATGTTTCAGAAAATGAAAATAAATTTCCCTTTCGTCTAAATTGAAGTATAAAATTTATAGTCTCTCTTGCAAATTTGAAACCCATTTCAAATAATAATAGAAACATTTGATCTATGAAGCCCATACATTTCCATTAATTTAAAGCTAAAATAATCTACTGTATCTAGCCTTCTAAACCCGCCTACATGAAATGAAATGTTTATCAAAACAATTCAATGATTTCTTACTTTATTTTTTCCATATATTCTGGAGTGTTCTGGTTTGTCATGTTTGATGGGCTAATATGCAGTTTGAAGTCCGGTCCAAAATACTCAAAGTAATCATTATATGGCAACTCTATTAAAAACAATGAAATACAAGTTACATATTAAAAGCTCAGTTTTTACACAAATCCATGAACAAACCACAGTTTCAGGTTATGAAATATTTCCAAAGAAAAACTTTAATAGTGAACACCAAGTGATTCACTGAACAAATGCTCTTATTTACTGGCTTTGGAATTCTAAGCTCCATCCATTTCTATATATTGATAGTTCATAAAGATATCATAATAAGAACACTTACCATTAGGAATCTCACAATCAAGGGCAACCGCAGTCTCATAAGTCCAACATCGAGCAACGTTACGGATTGTGTATCCACCTCCTCCAAGCATCAGTAATGGTAAATTGAAAGTTTTTACAACTTCTACACATTTAGCATGACCTAACACAAAGAAGATTTAGGTAACAACAAATCTGCATACTGTAATCGTTATTAAAAATCAGTTTTAATAAGATAAAAATGCAAACAAAATGCTACTCAACCCAAATAATTTTTCTATTTTTAAAGCAAATATATGCTAAAATTAAACACTTTTTACACAACGATGTAGTTTATAACTGGCAAGTGTGTTTGATAGAAAAGTCAAATAGACAACTAAATTAAGATTAAAATATAAATACGAACTGTTATTTTTATTAACACAGGAAGATGTTCATGAAGCATTAAGTGGGAAATAAATCAGGTTACAATGAAACATTATGCACAGTCTAAACTGATTTTTTGTTCTCATTTTCTATTATAAAAAAATTATGAAAGACCATACAACAAAACTTTAACAGGGGGGTATCTTTAGGCAGTGATATTCTGGATACTTTTCTTAATAGCTAAGATTTCTAAAAACAGTATCTATTACTACTAAAAAACTTCAAAATTCTTGTACATGTAAAAATTTAAATATAAAATCAAACCTAACATAAAAACAATTATTCCCTCTGGATAAATGTCATAGTTCAAAATCAATTAAGTTACCAGTAATTTCTTCAAATATTATCATTCAGGTACATAACTCAATCTTTAAAAAAGAAAAAAAAATCCTTCAATTATAGAAGAAATCCCTGTTTGTGGAAGAATATTTGGAAAAACTAAAGTACAAAGAAAAAAAACAGCCACCAAAAACTCCATCATCCAAAGATAGTTTTTTATATCCCCTCCCAACTCCTTCTATGCGTTCATTTCATAATGCTCAATTATCTGTTCTCTTCATGTAAGTGTATATGGTGAGCATTTTCATTAAGTATTCTTCAAAAAGAGTTTACATGGCTGTATTATATGATTTAGAAACCAATTCTCATTACAGCTGCTACTACTAGACAAAACAATTTTTTTAAAAATATTTTATTGTTGTTGAGAATACACACAGCAAAACATATACCAATTCAACTGTTTCTGCATGTACAATTCAGTAACACTGGTTACATTCTTCGAGTTATCTAACAATTTCCACTCTCCCTTTTTAAGTTGTTCCTTCCCCATTAACATAAACGTACTGCCTCGTTAGGTTCCTATCTAATCTTTTGAGTTGCTACCGTCAATTTGATCCCATACAGGCAGATCTTAAAAGAGTATAATACTCAAGGCAGACATTCTTTACCAGTTAAGATGAACTATTGTTTGGTTTTAAGAATTCAGGGAATATTTTTGGTTTAAAGTTTAAAGATTATCTCAGGGCAACAGTTTCCAGGGTTCATCAGCTTCCACAGCTCCATAAAGTCTGGATTCAAAAATGGTTTGTTAAAACAGACAAAACTGATCCATGAATTACATATGGATTAAAAAAATTTTTTAGATATTTTTGTAAAGAAAAAAAAAACAAGTAACAAAAAATTAAGTTACAGACTTCCAAGTAAAGATAGCTGGCTAAAGAAAAACATTTACTTTTCCTTTACCCCGAGAAACCTCACAAAAATGACAGTAAAAGGATTTTTTTAAAGGCAAAATCCATGAAAGCAAAGAATGGAAGAGAACAGTAGAACAACAAAATGACTGAAGGTGGAAAGTATATGTACAAGAGAGAAATCTGAATCAAAGCTGGCAGTGGACAAAGAACAGAATCAAGTTTAATATTTATAAACACAGATCTCCTACAATTTGGTGGCATTAAGTATCCCTGAAATGAGGCTGAAGGTAGAGCTAAAATTAAAAAGTGTGGTAACCTCTTCCTGTAAGCCGCCTGAGGTGATCTCACAAAATGGTTCGCTACTCACTTGACCCAGAAAACCCCACAAAATCATGCAAATCAAGAGGTTCAAATCTTCCAGTCCATTTTAAGAACACCCGTGAAACTGCCCAGGACATCAAGGGTATGCATATCTGAAAAGCCACCAAGTATCTGAAAGATGTCACTTTGCAGAAGCAATGTGTCCCATTCCAACGTTACAATGGTGGAGTTGGTAGGTGTGCCCAGGCCAAACAGTGGGGTTGGACACAGGGTCGGTGGCCCAAAAAGAGTGCTGAATTTTTGCTCCACATGCTTAAAAATGCAGACAGTAATGCTGAACTAAAGGGTTTAGATGTAGATTCTCTGGTCATTGAGCACATCCAAGTGAACAAAGCCCCCAAGATGCGCCACCGCACTTACAGAGCTCATGGTCGAATTAACCCATACATGAGTTCCCCTTGCCACACTGAGATGATCCTTACTGAAAAGGAACAAACTGTTCCTAAACCAGAAGAAGAGGCTGCACAGAAGAAAAAGATATCCCAGAAGAAACTGAAGAAACAAAAACTTATGGCTTGGGAGTAAATTCAGCTTAATAAAATGCAAATAAAAGTAAAAGAAGAAAAAAAAAGAAGTGTGGTAAGTAGGAGCTAGATACCCAGATCCCCTTCCCACATCTACACAACAGAAAGATTATCTCTTTTCTGCTCTCACAAAAGACTCAAGATTATCCTCTGCAGAGAGTGAAACAAGAGGGTTTCTGGACTGAGACCCCAGGCACAATTGAAGGCAGGGGTTCTACATTGAAAACACCACCTCCACTTAAGCCTAGAATTCTAGAACAGCTAGACAGCCTTAAAGCAGGAGAATGAAAACCTATTTTGGGGAAACTGGACCAGTTTAAGGAGAAAGACCTAAAGACACTGACATGGGGTGGCTCCCCATGAAATGGCCCTTCCAGATCATCCTAGAGCAGTGGTTCTCATCTGAGGACAATTCTACCTCCCAGAGGACACTTGACATTTTTGGTTGTCACAAGTGAAGGACAGGGGAGGACTGGCATCTAGTCGACAGAGACCAGGGATGCTGCTATATATCCTACAATACACAGGACAGCCTCCACAACAAAGAATTAACTGGTCCAAAATGTCATCAGTGCCAAGACTGAAAAATCCTGTTTTAGGTTCAAGTCCACAATTGACATACTGCATACATGGGCTCGGAGTTTTCAATGACAATCACGGATCACCAAAATTCTAAAGGCTCTGATATAAATGATACAGAGGAAAATAAACAGAAAAAGGAACTTGGAAAAAACACTCTATGCAAGGAAAAGAAAATTAAAAAAGCAACCATCAGGCATATTCTCAGAGGAATAAGAAAAGATTATCACTGAAACAACAATAGGATGTTATAAAAAGAAACATTCAGAGAATACTTGGAAGTTAAAAATATGGGAAAGGAAAGACAATGGAAGGGCTAGAAGATAAATTTAAGAAATCCCTGCGTATAGAAAAAAAGAAGAAAAAACAGGAGACAGAAAATAGGATTCCAAAAAGAATCAAAGAACCAGACCAAAAGACCTAAAAACCTGACAACAGTTAAAAAAAATAAATAAGAGGGAGGAAATCAATAAGATAGTTCAAGAAATTTTCCCAGAACTAAATGAAAGAGGACATGAGTTTCCTGAATGAACAAATATGGAGCGCCAAATACAGTGGATAAAAATAAACCCACATAAAAGCACATCATCATGAAATTTTAGAATACTAAGATCAAAAAAGAAGATTCCACAAAGTTCCAGAGAAACAAAACAGGGGTCAGGAATCAGAAGGCTATTGACTTCTCAAGCAAGAGAACAATGGAGGAATGCCTTCAAAATTCTGAATTTCAAAGAAAATTATTTCAAACTTAGAAAACTATACCTAGTCAGAGAATTAGTCAAATATAAGAGTAGAATAAAAGCTTTTTCAGACATGCAAGGCTTCAAATTTACTTGCCATAATGATGCTCCAAAGTTTGGCTCTGGCCTTCAAATAGGCCAAAAAAAACCCTGAATGGCTGAATGACTATCTTCAACATTTCTGGCATTACGATCATGGAGATTACTATTGTATCTTTGTATCTCGTTAATAACACTACTGGTAACATGAGCAAGGCATATCATTTGTATTTTTAATATCTAACCATTCACTTTCAAATACAGGTAAACATTCTAAAGGTAATTTGGAATTGTAAATAATACTTATATGTTTTATACAACTGAAATTTTATCAGCCAGTTGAAATACAAACGTTGACTTAATATTTTAAGTGTAAAATACTGCAGTTTATGATATGAAAGCTGCTATTTTTAAGTACAAAAATATTAAGGGCTTTCAAAGAGTCAAACAGGAAAACAGGCTGACAGCACATTTTAAGAGATTAGAGCATTTTAGGAAGAGCATATCGATTTTGAGCTAACAGATGGTTATCAACATACTAAGATGAACAATATGAAGTTGCCACAGATTGAACATTTTTGATTTACCAAAAAAGGGGGGGGTAATTTCATATGGTTCAACCTAATATAAAGCAGAGTAACACATTATATAATTCTAATACTGTCTGGTATAGTAGCAATCACAACATTAAATAATATAGCCTTTAAAATATGCATTTAGTTATTTAATTCCACTTAGGCCAACAGTTGTTCTGGACAAAATTTTATTTGAGAATTCTTCATATCTTATAAAAAAGAATTAAAAGTAGAATATTAACTCGCTACCTCAAAAGTTCACAAGGGAAAAAAAAAGTCAAAATAATGCATAACATCTTTGATAAGTCATTTCTCAGTATACACATACAATTTTTAAACACTTATTCAATAAAATTTCCGATTTATTCACACACCCTAGAAGTTCATTCCATAACGGTGAAATTTTGTTTTGGCCTAGTCTACAATCATATGTTCTGGGAATTCCAGAACACTTAATTGTGCTCATGAGGAACCTATACATAGACCAAGAGGCAGTCGTTCGAACAGAACAAGGGGATACTGTGTGGTTTAAAGTCAGGAAAGGTGCGCATCAGGGCTGTATCCTTTCACCATACTTATTCAATCTGTATGCTGAGCAAATAATCCGAGAAGCTGGACTACATGTAAGAAGCTGGACTATGTGAAGAAGAACAGGGCATCAGGATTGGAGGAAGAGTCCTGATCAACCTGCATTATGCAGGGACACAACCTTGTTTGCTTAAAGTGAAGAGGACTTAAAGCACTTACTGATGAAGATCAAAGACCACAGCCTTCAGTATAGATTACATCTCAACATAAAACAAAAATCCTCACAACTGGACCAATAAGCAACATCATGATAAACGGAGAAAAGACTGAAGGTGTCAAGGATTTTATTTTACTTGGATCCACAATCAACACCCATGGAAGCAGCAGTCAAGAAATCAAACGATGCATTGCACTGGGCAAATCTGCTGCAAAAGACCTCTTCTGAAGTGTTAAAAAACAAAGATGTCACTTTAAGGACTAAGGTGCACCTGACCCAAGCCATGGTGTTTTCAATCGCCTCATATGCATGGGAAAGCTGGACAATGAATAAAGAAGACTGAAGAAGAACTGACACCTTTGAAGTATGATGTTGGCGAACAATACTGAATATACCACGGACTGCCAAAAGAACAAACAAATCTGTCTTGGAAAAAGTACAGCCACAATGCTCTTTAGAAGCAAGGATGGCAAGACTATGTCTCACATACTTTGGACGTGTTATCAGTCCCTGGAGAAGGACATCATGCTTGGTAATGTAGAGGGTCAGCGAAACAGACGAAGACCCTCAATGAGATGGACTGACAGTGGCTGCAACAATGGGCTCAAGCACAAAAATGATTGTGAGCATAGCGCAGGATGGGGCAGTGTTTCGTTTTGTTGTACATAGGGTCACTATGAATTGGAACTGAGTCAATGGCACCTAACAACAATTATCACATGATTTCAACACTTGATCAAAATTCAGTGCACTCCTATCTCCACTTTTTTTCAAAAAGCTTCTTGAGAATGTGTTCCACAAAAATGAGAGAAAAAATCAATCAAGGGGATCCAACACAACAGAGAAGCAAAGTAAAGCTCTATGTTCTGCCAGGTTTATAGAAAATACTCAGTTCAAACAGGAGCAAGTCATAAGGCTGACTTTCAAGAAGGTAAAACTGACAAGAATACTGGATGTATCTGAACATATGAAGATATTCAGACAACTGAAATTTAGTAATGAGTAAAGAGAACGCTAAGCAAATGAAATTATTAAATAAGAAAAACAAGCCAAGCAGGAAAGAAAAGTTGGATAAGCTAAAAAATACTTTAATGACAATGCTGCTGTAAAGACAGCACAACCACAATTCTCATACAAATGTATTGTGAAAATGGAGATATGGGAAGGGTGTGTGTGTTGGGCATAAAGTGGAGAGTTAAAATCCTCATTATCCATAATGGGAACTGAATAGATAATGTAAAAATTAAAAGTCCAATTAAGTAACAAAATATGCGTATTATCTGGAGAAAGATAAACACCAAAAAGAATTAACCAAAAGAGTTGAAAATATAAAACTGTTCATTATACAGGTACATATAAATTTAACAAAATAAAAAATATCCAATTTACTGAATCAAGATTAACTGTAGTTGTAAAAATCAATTTCAAATAATTCCACTTTAAACAACAGACAAAAACCCACGAAAAATACAAAGCATATGCCTCAGTGTTAAAATAGCAGCCAAAAAATTATAACGAGAACATTTATGCGAAGTTCTTGGAAAGAAAAAACCTAGGAATCAAAAAAAAAACACAAACCTGTTGCCACTGAAGCGATTTCAACTCATGGTAACCCCATGTGTTGCAGAGCAGAACTGTGCTCCATTGGGTTTTCATGGCTGTGACCATTCAGAAGCAGATCACCAAGGCTGTCTTCCACAGCACCTCTGCGTGGGTTTGAACCACCAATCTTTCAGAAAGTAGACAAGTGCTTAATTGTTTGCACCACCCAGGGACTCATTCACCCTTTAAACTGCTTACCTTTGACTGTTAGATTGAAGCAACCAAGTCTATCACCAGATAATGAGTCTGCACCACACTGTAATACCACAGCACTAGGTTGATACATCTCCATCACTTTTGAGATAATCTGTGTAGAAGATAACAAATGTTAATATCTCTGATAACATTTTAAAATTCCATTTCAATTTTGAAAATACTACTACTTACCGGCTTAAATATCTGCCCATATGACTCATCATCTATACCATCTCTCATTGGAAAATTAACAGCATAGTATTTGCCTTTTCCTGCACCAATGTCCTAAAAGACAGTTAAACAGATCTTAGAGAATATGTTACAATAAAAAGTTTGACATATTTATTAAAATAGGTAGCAAGTCCCTATTCTGAATTTATCTTATATATTGAGAAAGAAACTTAGAAAGGAAATAATACAGAATAAAGAAGTACATGTTTCAATATTTATGGATTGCTTATAAAACCTAAAAGAACCCTTTCCAATTACTCTGTAACAATTATTTTTTGGAAAAAAGAAATTTAACACAGTTAAAGGCAATATGAAGTTACACATAATACTGTATGAGCCTGGCTTGATGTTAGCTTGAATCCATTTTTTAAAATGTACAGTTTACCTTCAACATTAATTATGATCCAATGTCTAATGAAAAAGCAAGTGGAACTGCATACCTCTCTCCTGCAAATTTTTCTTAAAGAGATCTAAATTTTTTTTATTGCTAAATATAAACTACTATATAAATGTGGATAAACTAAAAAGTATCATGAATCCCTAGACTCTTTTACAAAAAACACAGATGGCATATACTCTGACCCTAAGATTTTAGAAAGTGTTGACCAGAAAACTGGTCACACTTCTCACTCTAGCTAACAGCTGACAACTCAAAGTTGCTCCCCTGTTGGACCAGCTTTATCCTTTCTATTCCTTATTCTGCAACTGCTACTGCATCATACTTCTATTTCTTTCTTCTACCTAATTAAAGCAAGTGGAGGTTTAAAAATGATCTCAGCTGTGAACTGCCTGCTTTTCTGCTTTAAAATGAATTGTGAGGTAGAAAAAGGAATGTTTTTTGCTATAAATTTAATAACAATCCAAGACACACACGAGTTTCAGAGAATCCAAATGCAGTTATACATAATGTAATGACTGATTTTAGTTTCCTCACAAAATCTTAGGGACATATTAATAATATCCAAAGCAAAGAAATTATTTTTAGAATGGCATTTTATACAGCGATTATAAACTCTTATGTGAGCAAATTAGATGTTGAAAGTCATTCTCAAATCTTTTTAAAGCACTCATTCTGGTATTTTCCAACTACTTCAAACAGCCACGAGAATTGTGAGCAATAATTGAGAAGAAACCATAGTGACATCCATCTACTGTTTGAAATTAAAACAAAGGCCTCCATTTGTCACTTCTGAGATTAATTAGGTTTATATTGTAAAGACTATTTTGTTCCTTAAGCTTAAAGCCAGGTGGGTTTTGTTCGATCTCTACTGGGATATAACAGTTGTAGAGAAATGTACATTCTATTGGTTTCTAGCAGTCACTGAACTTTAGTGTGCAGAATCATCCAGACTTTCTGGATTTGAAGAATATGCACTTCCAGCAAGTTCCAGGCGATGCTCATACAGCTAATTCAGGGACTATACTTTGAGAACAACTGATCTGTAAGATAAGAGCAAGAGGGCAAGAAAGATGTAGAAGGAGCTAACTGGCAAGGAACTGAAACTATAAATCTACAATTTTAAGTCAAACAATTTAAACTCCACGAATAAACTATACATTTGACCTCCTATCCATTTGTAAGGAAAAGGTTTTATCCATCCTAACTCTTGGTTTACTGAAAGAGTACCATCTTGTGGTCAAATATAGAAAAACCACATGTGAAAAATAAGGCAACTTTTTAATAAACTTTTCGTTCTTAAACAACTATAACAACATACTGTAGCTTTGAAAAGTAACAAAATAACCTTAATAAAATAACTTAGAACTAATGTTGAGAAATCTCCCATATAATCTAGGCCAAACTAAAAAAAAGCTGCTTAAACTTCTGAATAAACTTCAACATGCATAGTTTGGTTCAAAAAAACTCTATGGAAGCAAAATAACCTCAGGTTTGTAGAAACAGGATTTGACCGGTAGTTTTCACATTTATAAACTGTAAGAGCTCCAAATGGAAAAAGAGAATAGAACTAAATGCACTTAATGTAACATAAAGGCAAGACTGAGCTTTGGTATTCCTTCTCTCCTCAACTTGTACACACTATAAATTTCAGATATATAAGGGAAAAAAAGACTAAAACTAGACCTATTAATTCAAGATCAACCATAAAGTAGAGAAGAAGAATCTGATAAAGACCCAGTCGATTATTTTATTCTACCAATCTTTACAATCAGCAACATATGCTACTTTAAGTATATTTTGAAGATTCAAACTGAACATGAAGAAAAGTGCTTCATACTTCGTAGATATTCAAAAATATTTATTCAAACAAAACAGGTGAGCAAAAGAACAGCTCAAGTTCTCATTAATTTTTGCTTACAGTCAACAAAACTGAATTCTAACAGATGTTATAGTTCATATACAATGATTCCGTTCTGCATACAAGCTTCAAATTAATGATGAGAAAGATATTAGTTCAATATATATTTAAGTATAGGATTACTAACCTCCTAGATTAGTATTATTCAGAGTTTAGTCTTACCCTCAAGTCTCCAGTGCCAGGAAAGTATTCCCCATATTTATGGAATGATACAGTCATTACACGATCTGTTGTATAAAAAGCTTCTTCAACACCATCACCATGATGGATATCAATATCAATATATAAGACTCTCTGATGATACCTGAAAATAAAGTCATAGAAAGTTTTTTTTTTTTTTGAAGCTTATAAGGTGGGAAGAATCACCACGTACTCAGAAAAGTACTCTTTTGAGCTCTTGCATTCCAGAATGGTTAATCCTCTTTTTACTTCCAGCCTAAGGAACCATTCAGCTACATATGAATCTTAGACCTTTAAATACCCTCTTTGGGCCCAATGTAGGTGAGAGAATATTATTTACTTTCTCTGTGAAATTTGTCCTATTTGACTTGCTTTAATATTAACACATTTCTGTATATTAATGACTGAAGATTACATCGTACTAAACATTATTACTTCAATTAAAACTCTCTAGTTATTTTTTAGTATTATAAAACAGGGGTTGACAAACTTCTGTCCACAGAACAAATTTGGTAAGCTGTCTTTCTGTACAGCTCATAATAGCTCACAAGCTAATAATAATGGTTAATAAACAGAATCAAAATGAGAGTATTTTGTGGCATGTGACAATTACATGAAATAAAAATGTGTCCATCGTTTCGTGGTATTTGCATCACTTCACAAATAGCAATGAAGTAGTTATAATTTGAATGCATTTTAAGAACCACGTGTATCACAGTACTGTAACATTTTATTTTATTATCACTGCATATCCATAATGTCAAAACAAGAAAAGTGGACTCTGAATGTCATCCTTTAAGGTACAGTCATTTTTCATGAGTTGAAACTGTAACAAATCTGAACTGCCAAACTAATACTTTTTTAAAAGGTATTTAAGAGGAATTTTTAAGAAGTCCTGGTAGTGTAGTTGTTAACATGCTTGGCTGTTAACTCAAAGGTGGAAGCTGGAATCCACCAGCTGCTCCAAGGGAGAAAGATGTGGCAGTCTGCTTCTGTAAAGATTTACAGCCTTGGAAACCCTATGGGGCAGTTCTACTCTGTCCTATAAGGTTGCTACGAGTTGGAATCGACTCATTGGCAATGGGTTTAAGGGGAATTTTAGACATTTATATACATTTCTCACTCTTGATAATCCAATAATTGGGCAAAATTTCTGTATTTCTACGTTGGCTTATAATGAATTCACAGAAAGTGCACAATTAACTATTAAAAAAAAGCACACATAGGTTTTTATTAAAACATTTTGTCATAGGGAGAGTAGAAAGTATCAATACAAATTAACTTACTTTAGCAATTCAAGGATGGCAAGCACAATATCATTAACATAACAGAATCCTGATGCTTCTGACTTCTTAGCATGATGTAATCCTCCAGCCCAGTTAACAGCCATATCAGTTTGTTGTCGGTTTAACTTCACAGCCCCAGCTAAAGAAAGAGAAACAAGTCAAGGTACGCTTTTAAAATGCTTAAGATAAAAATTTAGTATAACTAGACAAAAGTTCTATAGAAAAGAGTATGCCATGTGTAAGCAAAAGAGTTTAAAATTCACTGTTTTTAGATCTTAAGACGGTCATAATAAAAGGTAAGGATCATTGTCTAGGTCACTAATAGAAAGCAGTTTTTCCTTAGATAAATATTTTCCCATAGCTGTGGCCCACTCCTCTAAAAAAAATAAATTATTAAATAAGGGTATTCACGGAAAAATAAATGGTAATAATGGCAACTGGAAGGGCAGGGGAGGGGAGAAGTCTCTAAGTGAAAATACAAGATACTAAAAGGTTAAAAAAAATCGTTTGCATCATTATGATCACAAAACATGGAGGTTTTAAAGACAACTGTACTCTGGTATAAACACACTGATTCCTTTTTGTTAACAAAATCCACCACCATTAAAAATTCTGGTTTAAACAAAAAAAACAAAAATACATACCGAGTTTAAATCAACTTGTAAATCTGATCGCATCAGGACACTTACCAACTGAGCCACCAGTTGAGAGCTGACAAAACTCGAAGAGTCCATCAAACACTGGGCAATCCTCTCCAACATTAACTATGGAAAACAGATTTCATTAATTTCAACTCATTCTGTAATTTAACAAAAGCTGTTTCTTACAAAAACTATTTCCTACAAATACTTTGAGTTTGATGCAATCATCAAAACATAAACTTTATAGTAGTAATTTGAAGTTTGCAATTAAAATATAATTTATTATTTTATCCAAGATAATTAAAGTATTACCTGTGAAACACCACCTCTAAATTCTTACCAGGACTAATTTGTGGAATAATTCTGCTGTATTAACAAGAAATCAATAATCATCAAAACATAAAAGGTATCTGCTTTTAATTAAAACATGGACTTAATTTTATAAGTATTTTCTCCTCAAATATACACAATTAATCAAGTTTCTAAAATATATACAGATACATGCCACAGCACGACATATTCAGTTCAACGAAGTTGCTTAATATGGAAAGAATGAAGGGAACGTAGGTGTTTATAACCCATTATCAGTCTCCTCTCACCCTCCAAATGATAAGAAGCAGAGTCATTGTTTTATATAGCTTTGCACACTCTTAATTTTCAAGCATTTAGCACTACACAAAGTAATAAATAAATCTTAGCTTCTTACTGATCAGATATGATGATAATACAACTCAGTATTATGTCAAGTTTTCAGTCCTGTTAATTCATTTGCTCTAGGACTACCCATGACTCTTTAATCTAACCCTGACACTACATCAAAAAAAAAAAAAGGGATAAATAGTATCTCTTCTATCTATATTACAGCATTTTACTGAATCAAATGAAACAATCTATGGTGGGACTATATTATAAAAAGCTATGAATATGCGAAACGTCTGGCAACTATACTTTAGTATTACTGAAACTGTTCTTTTTTTTCGGGAAATCATCACTGAAGTTTATCAACAAAAACACTGATGAGAATGAGCTCCAGTATAAACCTTTAAAAATCACTTGTAGATCCTTTTAGGATGACATTTGGTATTCCACCTTCAAGCTAATTTGTTACCTCTCTATAGTAAAATAGTATCTGTAATCTCATCAAAGAGAACACTAAGTAAAAAAGAATCAAAAGCTTCATTAATATCACAACAAAGGGGAAAAACAGATTATATGTATTACAGTTAGATTAAATGAGGCACACTAATAGAAGACAAGTGGTATATATCAAGCTAAGGCCAATCAAAGAAAAAAATTTTTTTTTTTCAAAGCAGGGTAATGAGGTCTCCCCTACCAATAACGACTATCCAGAAGTTAACATGGGACCAAAATAAAGAATAGAAGAACATCCGAACAGTTCTTTGGCAGACCAATAAGCTTCGGGTAGGATTTTTAGCTTTTAAGGTAGCTTTAATATTATTACACTGACTTATCCAATCAATAAATAATTAGAATAATACTTCAGATCAACAAGAAAAATGCCCAGATTTCGATAACTCTTAAGTTTCTAAAAATACTCATTTATATTTATCAATACTAACGTTATACTTAAAATATACAAACATACATCTCTGCATCTGTTTACTATACTCAGACATGTTATCTGGTCTTATTGAACGCAGAAATTTGATGTACTCATCACTGTGGTATTTTGTCATTTCTTCAGCAGTGGCCTTATGGGGTCTCTGTGAAGAAAAATAAATGTCAAAATTGTGAAATTACAATTTGTTATATCAGAATTATCCGACACAAAATACATAATTTGCCCTAGCAGTCCTCTTAAAAAACCTAAGTCCTCCTGAACAAAACAGTTACGTTTCCAAATTAATCTAAATTTATACATGTGAATTTTAAAAAACAGTAATCAATTCCAAAGCTAATTTCAAACACCTTTAAAGCATTAGCCAGGCCTAATACCAACTATCAATTAATCACTACTTATATTTTAGTGGAAATAGGTCAATCCTTATAAAGTCAAATCCATGCTCATAAATTTTACTTTCTCTCATTTTCCATTACACACTTTCTGCTCTATATCCAGTGATTTCATCCCTGGCCTCCCAGGATGAGGTTCATTTTCAATTCTAAGTCTTTGTTCACAGTCTTCCTTTTTTTTTCCTTTGCCTATCCTAATCATCCTTATTTTTAAGAGCTTAATTTTATTCCCCACAGATTAATAGTCTTATCCATTTCCCGCTCTTTTCTAAACGTCTGTATCTGAAAGAATGTAGGACACATACATTACCTAACATTGTTAACTGCTTCAAGTCTTTCTTTTCCACCCAATTAGACAGGAAGTGTTGTCTCTTATATTTTACATATACTCCATCCTTATCTCCAAGAACATTTAAGGCAGCTGTTGTATCTTACATGTTACTTGTATCCTGCGTGGCCCCTAACAATATTCCAGACACATTGTATGCCCGATAAATATCTGTAGAATTAATTCCCTGAGTAACTCTTTTGTAGCTGTTTCAGGTCAACTCTTATCAGCAGTGTAGGCAAATCAACAAGTATTGTGACAGATATTGTGACAGCTAAACCGATTTGTTTTCCAGAAATGTGAAAACCTGGGATTAGGGAACTCTTTTGAAAATGGTTCAGGAAGGGGGAAAAAGAGGCTACAACTCTCACACTCAGTTTTCTCCAATGAATAAAACAAAAAGAGGAATTTTTTTCTAGACCTTTTTTATCTGTTAAATTATTACTATCCCAAGAGCAACTACTAAACAAACCAACAAAGTTTCAATAGTTTAAAAAAAAAATCAGGGCTGAATATAAATTATGAAAAGGCATACTTACATATATTTCCATTTTTCTATATAAGCCATAATTTAGGAGCAAGTTATGGGTCATGCGGATTCTATGAGGTTTCATAGGATGACCTTGTCCATAATAGTAATTTCCAATATCACCTAAAATAGGAAAGAAACAAGCTAAACAATACAGACAACGGAATCTTCATGAATTATCTGTGACTTTATGTACATTCATCATGAAAAGGCATTTACCACTTATCCACAGATTTTAGATTTATTTTGCAACCTTCAAACATCAGAAAATGAGAAGTCCCTATGCATACTTTTGCATACTGATAATTCTATTATTACACTGTATGTTTATTTGTAGACTAAGGAAAATAAGTTTTTCTTATTTCTAATTCCTCCAATTTTCTTATTTTAGAAAGAGCCCAAATAAAATACTCTTTATTCACTAACAAAAATAGTTTTTGTTATTTAAAGTGATGCTTGCTTTTAGTATTCTCTGGTAAATTCAAATGCTTAAGGTAACTTCTCTGAGTTTTACTGGTATGGCATAAATTTTCACCAGCAAACACTGCTCCTTCAATGACTTAGCAGCATCTTGAAATCCTTTATAGCTGACATTATGGGGGTTAAAATGTTCATATCATGGTCTATGAGGGAAGTCTTTGGGAACTTAAACAAGACATATGCACGACATTTTCTAGTTAAGTATACAGTTTCATTCTTCATTAAATTGTTATAATTCCTAATTTTTACATCTTATATCCCAATGTCTTAAAACTTATCCGTAAGACTTATTTTAAAAGAAGCAAATAATATCAACATTAATGATTTTCATTCACCAAATTTCAATTTTCCAGATTTCAAAATTTCAAAACACTTAATTGTGCTCATGAGGAACCTGTATGTAGACCAAGAGGCAGTCATTTGAACAGAACAAGGGAATACTGCGTGGTTTAAAGTCAAGGAAGGTATGTGTCCGGGTTGTATCCTTTCACCATACTTGTTCTATCTGTATGCTAAGCAAATAATCTGAGAAGCTGGACTATACACAGATGAATGGGGCATCAGGATCGGAGAAGGCTCATTAATAACCCACATTATGCAGATGACACAACCTTGCTTACTGAAAGTGAAGAGGTCTTGAAGCACTTACTGATGAAGATCAAAGACCATAGCCTTCAGTACGGACTACACCTCAACATAAAGAAAACAAAAATCCTCACAAGTAGACCAATAAGCAACATCATGATAAACAGAGAAGACTGAAGTTGTCAAGGATTTCATTCTACTTGGATCCACAATCAACACCCATAGAAGCAGCAGTCAAGAAATCAAATGATGCATTTCATCAGGCAAATCTGCTGCAAAAGACCTCTTTAAAGTGTTAAAAAGCAAAGATGTCACTTTAAGGACTAACATGTGCCTTATCCAAGCCATGGTGTTTTCCATCGTCTCATATGCACGTTAAAGCTGTTAAGACCAAAGAGAATTGATGCCTTTGAGCTGTGGTGTTGGCAAAGAATACTGAATATACCATGTACTACCAGAAGAACAAATAAATCTCTCTTGGAAGAAGTACAGCCAGAATGCTCATTAGAAGCAAGGATGGTGAGACTTCCTCTCATACACTTTGGACATGTTATTAGGAGGGACCAATCCCTGGAGAAGGACATCATGCTTGGTAAAGTAGAAGGTCAATGAAAAAGAGGAAGACTCTCAATGAGATGGATTAACATAGTGGCTGCAACAATTGGCTCAAGCATAACAATGATTTTGAGAATGGCACAAGACCGGGTAGAGTTTTGTTCTGTTGTACATAGAGTCGCTATGAGTTGGAACCAACTAGACAGCACCTAACAACAAATAACAATAAATTTCAATAAAATCAGTATTTTTAAGTAAAGTTCTAAAACGAAAAGTGGTAATAAACAAGTATCTTAACTGTATACAATTTTTCTAATGTAATGGCACTGCACACTTTACAACAGCCCTAATTAAGTCGGAGCCCTCGTGGCACAGTGGTTAAGGTCTCAGCTGCTAACCAAAAGGTTGGCAGTTTGAATCCACCAGCTGCTCCTGAGAAACCCTATGGGGCAGTTCTACTCTGTTCTATAGGGTGGCTGAGTTGGAATTGACCGACAACAACAGGTCTGGTTTTTATTAAGTTATAAATTACTTTTAGTACTGACTCTAGTCTTTGAATAAGCATTCTAAAATTTTGTTAGGAAAGCCAAGCTGATATTAATGAAACCCTCTAAAAACCTAAAACTAAGGCCATATTTTCCAACTACCAATTCTTTTTCTTTGTTTCCAACTTCTGCATTCCAATCACCAGTAATTACCAATGTATCTTGATTGCATGTTTGATCAATCTCAGACTGCAGAAGTTGGTAAAAATCTTCAATTTCTTCATCTTTGGCATTAGCGGTTGGTACATAAACTTAAATAATAGCCGTATTAACCGGTTTTCCTTGTAGGCATATGGATGCTATCTCCTATCAGTGGCAGCGTTGTACTTCAGGATAGGTTTTGAAATGTTCTTTCTGACAGTGAATGAGACACCTGTTCCTCTTCAATTTGTAGACCATATGACAGTCCAATTCAAAATGGCCAATAGGAGCCCATTTCAGCTCACTAACACCTAGACTATTTATCTTCAAGCATTCCATTTCATTTTAAAAGAGGCACTATTTTAAATACTTTACATATATTATCTTTTAACCTTCCCAGCAACCCTGTGTCCGTTAAGGTTGTGTGTCAACTTGGCTAGACCATGATTCTCAGTGGTTTGGCAGTTATGATGCAGTTTGGCAGCTATGCAATGATGTAATCACCTCCACAATGAGAGCTGATATAATGCAATCACTTTCATGGTGAGATCTGCTATTAGCAGCCAATCAGCTGAAAGGGAGTTTCCTTGGAGGTGTGGCCTGCATCCATCATACATGGTCTTTCTGGCAAAGCTCACTGGCTTTTGCTCGCTGTAGATCCTGCATCTGGCTCATCATCTGACCCCCGGTTCTTGGGACCTGATCTAGCAGCTTACCTGCCAATCTTGGGATTTGTCAGCCTCCGCAGCCTGTGAGCCAGAGAGGACTGCTATCTGACTTGCTGATCTCGGGTCTCTCAGCCTTGCAGCTAAGTGAGTCAGGAGATGTCTCCAGCCTGAACCACAGACTTGGGACTTTCCAGCCTCTCCAACCACATGAGCCATTTCCTCGATATAAACCTCTCTGTGTATGTAAATGTATATATATGTGTCTATATGTATACATACATATATACATACAGACACATATACATACATACACATATACAAGCTTCACTGGTTTTGCTTCTCTAGAGAACTCGGCTTAAGACTAACCCTATGATACAGATTATTATTATTATTATTCCTATTTTATAGCTGAAGAAAATAAAACACAAATAAGTCAGATAATTTCACCAAAGTCATACGGCTAGCAAGTGGAGGAGATGGATTTAAACCCAGACAAGGCAACTCACATTCAATGCTTTTAAGTAGTAGCTACTGGGAGAGGAATGGTACTTATATTCACGACAGAGAAAAGGGGGTGGGGAGGTCTGACAACAAACGGGCATAATATGGAATATATTTTTTTTTTAATAAAGGCTTAAGGTGTTATTAAAGGAGAAAAAAAAAATACAGAAACTACCCACCTATGCCTCCAAAATAATTTACCTTTTTACTAACAGGGTCCTCAAATTTCATATGAATGTATGTTTAACGTTCGACTAGCTTCTCTGCCACTATGTTGGGGCCCCAGTCCCTGCCTAAGGGACACGTGTGCAAGGGCAACCAAGCTAAATAAACATAGTTGACATTCCAAATGTAAGGGGATTATAAGAGAACCATCTCCAACTTTTTTTCTGCTTAATCCCATGTCTCAAAAAATGTTTTGTAATCATACAATTTTTAATAAAGATAAAATGTCTTTTCTTAGTTTTAAGAATCTTACAGGTTTTATTCATCTCATGTAAATGGTCAGTAATGAAATTTGAGCATTTTTAAATGTTATCCTCATTTTCATAAAAATACTTACTTTACCAATGAATAAGACATCCAGAAAAATCCGTTCAAGGTGGTTCCTTGGATGAACACAACAAACTTTGTCAATATGAAGAAATTATTACAAAGAATTAGTAATCAGCAAAACTTTACAGACTGCTCACTCTTCAAGAAGCTAGCACAATGGAAGTGGCTACTAAGGTACATAATCTCTTATCCAAAACCCTTGCAACTAGATGTGTTTCAAATTTTTGACTTTTTCAGATTTTATACAGGTCCCCTAGCAGTATTTAACAACATTGACTGCCTTGAAACATTCTGAATCTTGGCTTCCATAATACTAAACAAATAAACAAACCAAAAAAAACCAGTTGTCATGGAGTCAACTCTGACTCACAGTGACTCCATGTGTGTCACAGCAGAAATGTCCTCTGTAAAACTGAATGGCTGATTTTTCCGAAGTAGACCACCAGGCCTTTCTTCTGAGCCACCTCTGGGTGGACTTGAACCTCTAATGATTAGCAGCCAAGCACAATAACCACTGACAACACCCAGCGACTCCAAATTACTACACTCCAGGATTTTATTCCTACCCCCTGGCCACTCCTCCTCCAACCTTTATTTAAACATTAGGGTTTTTTCGAGTTCGTTTATTTATTTAACAATTGAACATGTGCCAGGCACATTTTTAGGTTTTTGGGTACCTCAGTGAACAACATTTCTGTCCTAAATCCTTTTCTCTCAGGAATGAGTCCCAGGCTCTTTGGTCTATCTATAACATCTCCTTTTCTCAGTCTCAATACTTACCAGCTACGCAAGGTGATGAATCCCAAATTTCTATGTCTAGCCTCTCCTCCATGGACTCCAGACTCTGAGAGTCAACTTGTTTATTGATATTTTCATTTCTTCTTAAATAATTATTTCAAGTATGTTTAAAACAGAGCTCTTGATTAGTCTTTCCAAGCTCAGTCAGTGTTTATCATCACTCATCTAATTGCTTATTCCAAATGTAAGGGGATTCCAGAAACTCAGGAGTTATCACCATCATCCCTCAGCTCCAACTCCACTTCCAACCCAGCAACACCACCTATCGGTTTTACTCCCAAAAGCTCTCTTAAATCTGTCCATTTCTATTAGCTCCAACCATTACATTTTATATGGATCAATCCTTTCCTGCATCTAGTCTTATACCCCACCACTCCCTCATGTCGTTGTTGTTGTGTGCCAATTCTGACTCATAGCAACCGGATCAAGTAGAACTGCCCCATAATGTTTCTAAGGCTGTAATCTTTACAGAAGCAGACTGTCACAACTTTCTCCCATGGAGTGGCTGGTGGGTTTGAATTGTCGACCTTTCAGTTATCTGCTGAGCCTGCTTAACCACTGTGCCACCAGGGCTCCTTCCATTACTTCCTACCAATCCTTTTTCCACTCATGAGACTGCTCTGTACTTAAAACCCTTCAATCTCTTTTTTCTCTCTGAATTTAATGCAAAATCTCTTACCACAAAGTCTTGCGTGATCAGGCCCTTGACTATATAGTTTAGCAACCCCTTGTCCCTCCATGCCTTTCTGTGGGCCTTTCTGTTAAGTGCTGCTAACTGAAAGGTCAGTGCTTTGAACCCACCAGCTGCTCCTCAAGCGAAAGATGTGGCAATCTGCTTTCAGAAGTAAAGCTTAAAGCCTTGGAAACACTATAGGGCACTTCTACTCTGTCCTATAGGGTTGCTATGAGTTGGAATCAACTCGATGGCAACGGGTTTTTGGTTTTCTGTTAAGCGCACTGAGTTCTTTCCAGCTACCTAGCCTTGCAACGTCTTATGCTGAGAATGCTTTAATTTTTTAAAAAAATTTTTTTGTGTTTTAGATGGAAGTTTACACTGCAAATCAGTTTTTCATTCAAAAATTTATGAATTGTTTTGTGACACTGGTTGCAATCCCTGCAATGTGTCAGCATTTTCCCCCTTCCCCTTTCTACCCTGGGTTCTCCATGTCCATTTATCCCATTTTCCTGTCCCTTCCTGCATTCTCGTCTTTACTTTTGGGCAGGTGTTGTCCATGTGGTCTTGTATACTTGATAGAACTAAGAAGCACATTCCTCACGTGTCTTACTGTTTGTTTTATAGGCCTGTCTAATCTTTGGCTAAAAGGTGGACTTCAGAAATGGCTTCGGTTCTGAGTTAGCAGGGTGTCTGGGGGCCATAATTTTGGGGTTCCTCCAGTCTCTGTCAGACCAGTAAGTCTGGTCTTTTTTTGTGAATTTGAATTTTGTTCTACATTTTTCTCCCACTCTGTTCAGAACCCTGTATTGTGATCCCTGTCAGAGTGGTCGGTAGTGGTAGCCAGGCACCATCTAGTTCTGGGCTCACGCTGGTGAAGGCTGTGGTTCATGTGTTCCATTTGTCCTTTGGATTAAATCATTTTCCTTGCGCCTTTGGTCTTCTTCATTCTCCTTTGCTCCAGACGAGATGCGACCAATAGATATACCTTAGATGGCCACTCCCAAGCTTTAAAGACCCCAGATACTACTCACCAAAGTAGGATGTAGAACATTTCATGAACTATGTTATGCCAATTGACCTATATGTCCCCCGAGCCCATGCTCGCCAGCCCTCAGCCCCAGTAACTCAGTCCCTCAAGGTGTTTGCATGTGTCTAGGAAGCTTCTATGACTTTGCTTTGGTCAAGCTGTGCTGACTTCCCCTATATTGTATGCTGTCTTTCCCGTCCCGTAAGTTCCAACTTGTCTACTGTCTAGTTAGTGATTTCTCCTCTCCACTCCTCCCCTCCCTCATAATCACTAAACACACTTTCATGAATTGAATTGTGTCCCCTAAAAATACCTGCCAACTTGGCTGGGTCACGATTCCCAGTACTGTATGAATGTGTACCATTCTGTAATCTGATGTGATTTCCTTACGTGTCATAATCTCGATCACTATGATGTAGTAAGACATATTAGCAACAGTTATACTGATGAGGTATACAAGATTGGATACTGTCTTAAGCCAATCTTTTTTGAGATATAAAAGAAAGAAGCGAGCAGAGACACATAGGAACCTCATACCATCAAGAAAGCAGTGCCGGGAGCAGAGCACATCCTCTGGATCTGAGGTTCCCACGCAGAGAAGCTCCCAGACCAGAAGAAGATTGATGACATGGACCTTCCTCCAGAGTCAACAGACTAAGTTTTCCCTTGGAGCTGATGCCCTGAATTTGGACTTGTAGCCTACTAGACTGTAAGAGAATAAACTTCTCTTTGTTAAAGCCATCCACTTGTGGTATTTCTGTTACAGCAGCACTAGATGACTAAGACACACACTAAATGTGGTAGTCGTCAAGCCTCATTTAAAACAAAGTATGTGACTACTGTAATCAAAGCTTACACCAAACATACCTGCTTTGATTTAGGGACAGCAATCATAACTTTAGGGCCATAATGAACCTTAGTGGCTAACAAGCTACATCATTTTACAGATTATTTAATAATCTTGCAGTTATGTACAAGAATGACCAATATTTTAGAAACGGTTTTGAAAACTTTGGAGGCATGAGAACCATCTATTAATTTTCTTCAAAGGTTTAAGGATACCTCACCCATCAATGCCTAAAGAAAGGTTCACTTGGAACCAGTATCCAAGTGATCTAAAGAATGTAATACTGAAGACTGTAAAGTGTATGATGAAAAATGTATCGTCTTTAGGAGCACCTTTCATCGAGATGCACACAGTCTCAATGGTAGACATTCTCTCTGTACCCCCAAGAGGCTCACAGAGCTTGCATAATGTCCCCAGTAAGTCTACAGGTAGGCCTTCTATGGTTGTAGAATATGCTACTTCTCTACTTTCCTCTTTATTGTTCTTCTTTCTACTTTCTTTACACTAAGTTAAAAGTAGATAATTTAGGCTGGAAGATTATTCAGGCTTTATTACTACTGATAACTACTCACCCGCAATCCAATACATGTTGCATACTTCCAAGTCATATAATTCTTTGGAGTGGAAGCTGTTTTACTTGTATCCTATTCCTTTACAACTAAAAAAAGAATATTATTATTTATTACCTTTATAAGTTGAAATAAAGTTTTTTGGTAATGAAAATGTAAGCTTCTGGAATTGTACCATTTAGCACATGATCATATTAATAATTAGCATAATACTATTTATCCAACTTAAAAAAAACTGCAAGATATTGTATTACACACATACACACAAAAGGAACTAACTCTTTTCCACAAATATTTAAAATGTAAGCAACTAAATATCTCCTAAAAATGAAGTTACGTTAAGAGCTAGACAAAAGACAGATAACCCACCAAAGATTTTTCCAAACTTACGTCAGTTAAACACACCTGGTTGCTGGCCCTCAGGTACAGCAATCGAATTATCTAAAATAAAGTACTGATTAAGTCACAATCATGAGACTCTCAAACATTCTCAACCTATCAAGCCTGCATCCTGCCCCTAGGACCAGTCTTGTCCCTCACTCCTCAACAAAGGTTTATCACAGATAGGCCCAAGAACAAACAGATGTTCAGAAAACTGCTACTCAAGTGTACCTCTTGGTCCTACAGCTGAAGCCTGGTGACAAGAGGTCATAAGTCACTGTCTTAGTTATCTAGTGCTGCTCTAACAGAATTATCACAAGTGGATAGCTTTAACAAAGAGAAGTTTATCCTCTCATAATCGAGTAGGCTACAAGTCCAAATTCAGGGCGTCAGCTGCAGGGGAATGCCCTCTCTGTCAGCTCTGGAGGAAGGTCCATGTCATCAATCTTCCCTTGGTCTCGGAGCTTCTCTGTGCAGAAATCTCAGGTCCAAAGGACGCGCTCTGCTCCTGGCACCGCTTTCTTGATGGTATGAGGTTTCCATGTATCTCTGCTCGCTTCTCTCTCTTATATCTCAGAAGAAATTGGCTTAAGATACTATCCAATCTTGTATACCTCGTCATATAACTGCTGCTAATCCATGTTATTAGATCATACTGATTGAATTTAAAACACATAAGGAAATCACATCAGATTACAAAATGATACACAACCATACAATACTGGGAATCATGACCCAGCCAAGTTGACAGATATTTTGGGAGGACACAATTCAATCCATGACAGTCAGCTTGCTCCACCACTGCCAACAGCAACCAACAGTTGCAGGAAGAGCCTTAACTCAGATTCTCCATCCTTTTAAAGTTTTCCCCGTTACCCTAAGCCTTGACAAGAGCATTAGAAACAAAATCATTTTAAAGTTAACTTACACATCTAGTTGTTCACTTTCCAATTTGATCAGGGAACGTACGGCCTAGATTTCACCAGTAACCTAAAATATGCACGAATTCTTTAACAAACTTTCAGAAATATAATTCATATTAAAATTAAAATATACTCCCATTTCCACCCCTACAACATGGCATCATTTCACGTCAATTTGTTACAAATACATGTAATCCTCTCAAAAAAATTTTTTAAACATGGCTGTTACTATTTTGTACTAGCTACCGTACATCAAACAATTTAGACTTTTTTTGATAAGATATCAGATCTTTCTACGGATGACAAAGGCAGTTATTTTACACTAAACAAGCATAAAAAGAGTACTTAATCCGTGCTAACTGAACAGATGTGATATGGCTCTTTTCAAGTTAAGGTCAGATTTACTGTGACCTAGTCCTCTAGGGTCGTTTCCAACTGCAAGATTTTGTGATTTACAATACACCAAACGTAGGAAGCAGCATCCAAAATTTGGGCCTCACACAAATCAGACAGGGTTTTCAGGGGATTGAGGCTCGCCTCTGTTAAATTTTGAAATTTCTTCTTAAGAATCAGATACTAGAAACTATCAAGTTAACGTTTTTGCTTAAATCTGTAAAACAGGTTACTACTCCATTCAGTATAATTTAGAGTGACACAGGAAATAGGATTCAAAAATTACTGAATTAGCTCATTTTTATAATTCACTGTACTGTGAATTCAAGTTTACCCGATGAAAATCTTTAGTACTTCTGCACTACTCCTCAAAATGTTCCTACACCAGGATTCTCTCCACCTAGGAACAGCCTCATAAGCAAGATGCCAAAGCTCTCTCGGAAACCTCCAAAGCAGGGTGTATTTCCTGATCGAACAAAGAGCAACAAAGAAGTGGGTGGGAACCACCTCTCACAGAAGCAAGCAAAGACCCATTGAGACTGAGCTACAACACAAGCATTAACAGCTCCACGTTTCCCCACCGCCTCCTCTTATTTCCCGGGAAGGGTAACTGCCTCAAACTCGAAAACCCTAATTTTTATTGCGGAAGTGGAGCCCTTTCATTTGAATCCCCCAAAAGTGGCGCTCAAACAACCCAGCGAACAAAGGAGAGCGACAGAGCCCACGGATAACACAGGTGGGAGTGTGCCGCAGCCAGAATAGGGCCCACATCCTCAGTCACTACTCCTCAGTAGCAACCCGGGTGGACCAGTTGAGGGTGAGGCTGGAGGCGGAGATAGGAGAAGACGTACTGGCCAGAGACGGCAGGGACCCGAAGGGAGGTTGCGAAGGGCAAAGCGGGCGGGGACTCGAGAAAGAGAGGGGGCTGGAGGGGCGGGGCTCCCACGGCCGCAGGGCTTTGTGTGGAGTCGGGCCCGGGGTAGATAGTTTGATCTGGGGGGAGGGGTCGGGTGCAGGAGGCAGGAGCAAAGAACCCCAAACCTCCGCTTCCACGAGTGGTAGGCGGGAGAAGCGCAAGAGAGAGCCGTCCCCTTTGCTACTATCACGAAGCCGGGGTAGGCCGCCGCCATCCCCAGAGGCGACCACTTTGGGGGCGGCGGGCCGCACTGCCAGAGGAAGGGGAGCAGAAGCGAAGTGGGGCGTCCCTCCAGCTCCCGTCCGCGGGGCCGGTCGGGGCGGAGAGATCTCCCACTGGTAGCGCCAGGTCGGGAATGGGTTAAGATTCAGTCAAATATCGGTCCCTCCTCCTTCACACCCCCAGCACCGGCGCCCACTCGCGACGGCGGCCTCGGAGCCGCGCCTGGTGCGGCCCGGGCCTGCAGCCCCAGCCCTGCCCGTCCACCCTCCTGGCCTCTCACCATCGTAGTAGTAACAGACTTTCTTCTTGCCGCCTCCCTGACTGTACGCCATGGGCTCCCCGGCCACAGCCCCCTCCGGGCTCCGGCTCCTCCTCCTGCTGCTGCCGCGGCTCGGCGGGTAGAGAAGAGGGCAGGGGCTAAGGTGGAGATGGTATTCTCTCAAGGAAGGGAAGGCCGGAGGGAGGAGAGGAGGGGTCGGTACCACCCAGCCAAGGGGCCGAGATCTCGGAGTGGGGGGTGGCAGCCGCGCCAACTCGCGACACTGGGGAGGGGGAGGGGGCAGCTAAACCACCTCCGGAGGCCGTGGGGAGGTGGGACGCGTCCACTGTGGCCTCTAGAGGGGAGGAAGGAGCACGATTAGAGAAAGATGGTCGCTTCACTGTTGGGTTGAGTCCTAACGCTGAACAAACAATTTGCGGAGGGCACCGCCAAGTACAGTCGCAAAACGAGAAAAAAAGGCAGTCTTTCTCTCCGCAGGTAGATAAAGGGAGCCTGGAGACAAGTTGACGTTCTCCCCCTCGGATCTTCACACAGTCGTTGCGCTTGTCCCGAGCCTGCGCAGTCAGCGCCTTCCCAACTGTAGCCTTCGGCGTCTAGACCCCCTCTGTGTCGTCCCTCGCCGTTCCCCTCCCCCACTGTCGCGAAGCTCCAACTCGAGCGGACCACGTGCCGTTAGCCCGGCGGGAAGAGAGCTGCAGCCCAAGGCTCGTGTACGTGGCCCAGTTGGTTTTCTCATTTGTTCATTCATTCATTCATTTTTTTGCTGACAATTGCTCCGAGGTACTGGACTTTTAAGAGGGCCTGTTAAAAACGTCAAGAACAGCGTTCTGGCTGGGTTTGAATAACCACGTAGGGAACGTTTACGTGTAAGGCAAGGTTCTAAGCATTTGTGTTTATAATATATTCCATCTCTACCTATAATAACCCAAAACCAAACTCACTGCCATCAAGTCAATTCCAGTAGGACAGAGTAGAACTGCCCCATAGGGTTTCTAAGGCAGTGTAAACTTTACGGAAGTGGAGTGCCACATCTCCCGTAAAGCGGCTGGTGGGTTCCATGGGATCACCGACCCTTCGGTTAGCAGCTGAGTGCTTTAACCACTGCGCTACCAATAAATGAAACCAAACCTATTGCCCTTGGTTGATTCCAACTCATAGAGACCCTATGGGACAGAGCAGAACTGCCCCATAGGGTTTCCTAGGAGTGGCTGGTGGATTCGAACTGTGGCGTTTTGGTTAGCCGCTGAAGGCTTAACTGCTGCGCCACCAAGGCTTTGCTCCACCAGTAGATACACATTATATCATTATAGGATTGTGTAGTGGTTAAAGTGCTGGGCTGCCAACCTACAGGTCAGTGTTGTCACTGAACTCACCAGCTGCTCTGCAAGTGAAAGATAGGGCAGTCTGCTTCAGTAAAAATTTCAGCCTTGGAGAGACTATCTGGCCGTTCCACTCTGTCCTATAGAGTCACTGTGAGTCAGAATTGACTGGATGGGTTTGGTTTTGGGTTTATTTTAGCATTTAAGACTCCCAACAACGCTGGAATGTAAATACTGTTTCTTTTCTTTAAGATCGAGGCAGATTAAGGAACTTGATCCTCACAACTGCTAACTGGTGGTCTGGGGATTTAGACTCATGTCGTTGCCGTGGTGGCACAGTGGTTAAGAGCTCAAGCTGCTAACTAAAAGTTGGCAGTTTAAGTCCACCAGCTGCTTCTTCAAACCCTATGGGGGGGGAGGTTCTGCTCTGTCCTATAGAGTCGCTATGAGTCAGATTTGACTGGATGGCAATGGTTCGGGTTTTTTTTTTTTTTGGTTTAGTTTTACACCAAGGAGCCCTGGTGGCACAAAAGTTAAGTGCTTGGCTGCTGACCAAAAGGTTGGCAGTTCGAATCCACCCAGCTGCTCTGCTGGAGAAAGACCTGGTAATTTACTTCTGTAAAGATTACAGCCAAGAAAACCTTGTGGGCCAGTTCTACTTTGTCACATGGGGTTGCTATGAGTCAGAATACACTTGATGGCACCCAACAACAGTCTTTCTCCAAAATCCACATCCCGTAGCTACCACACTGTACTGATTCTGTTTCTGGCTGGACACTGGAAGGTTGGAGCAGCAACCTAATAGAAACGACTTTACAAACTCACATAACTTACAAATACCTGCGTCCCCAGTTCATTAAGTCAGCAAACATTTATCAGGTACCTACTCTAAACTAACCCCTCATAACATTCTTATCCCAACAATATCATTTACAATTGTCCCCACAATGCACACTCTTCTCCTACACACCCTTTAATTGAAGCAGGAACCATTTGGAGCTACTATCAAAAACTTGCTTTTTATTTTGCTGTATGACCTTAAAAGTCCCAAAGGTGTTCGTGTGTAAAGCAGCAATCTTCCTGGGCCTCACACACAAGAGGTTTATAAAAAGTAAGCTCAGGGTAGACCTCCTCCCCACCCTCAGTATTTTTAACAAGCACCACAGGTGACTGGTGCCATGGATACAGAAACCACAGTGTGAGATACATTGGCTTAGAGGTAAAGTTAATTGCATGGCATTGACTTTCTAAGTTTTGCTCTAACAAGTCTAAACTCAATTTGGTAGATTCTGAGAACAGAATAAGTTACTTCAGTGAAAACTGATGTTCTTCCCCATAGCCAACCTAGTAAAGTCTGAAAAGAGACTTTACTTTCTTCACATCCTGTCCCCTAAGTTTATTCTTTATGCACTTACATGCTCCCTAGTGCCTTGTAGACCCTCTAGCTCAACGCTCGTCATGTTACAGGACCCATGTTGCCCACTTGTCAGAATGTCCCTTTAGAACAGAGCTTCGTAAGAAGAGGGACCGTGTTTGTCTTGTTTATAATTGTATTCCTAGTGCCTGTGTGACTTTGGGCAAATCACTTAAACTTTTTCTTCCCCCTCTGAATTGTCTTAACTGTAAAGTGATGGTATTACTTGGAGAGTAATTCTTTATGTGAATATTAAGAGGTTCAACTAAGAATTAATATGGAGACATTTTAAATGATAAAGAACTGTGAATATAACGGATGATTATGATTATTGTTATAGTACTAATTATTATAATATTTTTGTTGCTTGCATTCACAGCACCTAGCCTTGACCTTGTGAGAAGAGCCTGAACGTATATTTGATTGGTTGAGGACCTTGCTATATTATTTATTATTTAACAATTTTAAAGCAGTAGAAGCAAATGATTTTACCCTTGGAGTGAGTACTGGAGAAGGAGTTTTATCCAGTGATAAGAGCTGGCCATGAGAATTATGTTCCTAAATATCTATACTGAACTTTAGCTCATCAAAACTAAGGCCAAAAGTAAAATTCGTTACTGAAGCCCTTTGATAAACTCCAAACTTCATTCACCATATTGAAACATCTCCATCAACCCTTTTTCCATTAGGAAAAAAAGTTTAAGAAGTTATGCAATAAAAGAAGACAAGTTGAGAGGGTGGATAATTGATAGAATTCATAATCGAGGATTGTCTTTATCCTTAAACTATTTTGTTTTAGTTCCTGCTCTGTCTATATAAACTTATTTTTTCAGTCTTGAAGATATTTAGTGCTTTGAGCTTATTCAGTGAAATGATCTGTTAACCTAAAGGAATTATTTAAACCAGGATTGTTCAGAAACTGATTGCCTCAGCTTATGCTAAAAATTGTACTCTACTACCAACTACAGCACATAGTTTAATTTTTAGTTGCTATAAAATGGTTATTCATATAAACTTGTTTCCACTCTAAAGAAATTTAGATTTCTGGGTGTTAAATGCTGTGTAGTAATTCCATAAAGTAATTCAAAAGGTAGAGAAGTATAGTGACTAACACTAGGATGTTGTTACAAACTAAAAGAGCCTCAAGCTGAATTCTGATCACTTCAGAAGCACAGTGAGTATTTTAACACAGTACTGTAAACTGTAACTCATAAATCTGAACAGCACCAAACAATGAAAGATTATAGTGTTATTTGAACTGTGCATTTGTTTAACAAAATTTAAAAATTACCCATTTACAGGAAGAAAATGTATTTCTGAACCATAAATTATCTACTAATTCACTCAGTTACATTAAACTTTTTAAGTCACTACCGTTAGCTTCTTATTGATTAATGCTTTGCCGGTGACCTTCAAAACACAGTATTA